GTTCATTTGTTTCAGAATTTTCTCTGTAACAGCTTTATTGAGGTATATTTTGCATAGAATAAAGTTCACTCCCTTAAAGTATAGAATTGAATAGTTGAAGGTATATTTTAAGAATTGCAAAACCAYTTTCATAATCTAATTTTATAAAATTTCTAACACCTCACAGAAAAAAACTGATATCCATTAATAGTTATTTMTCTATTACAATGGGCTTTGCCTTACATAACTGTTAATCTATCTTCTGTCTCCGTAAGTTTGCCCATTTTAGGCATTTTTATAAAATGGATCATACATGTGTTCTTTTATGACTGCCTCTTTCCTTTTAGGTAATGATTTTGAAACCCATCCCTCATACATTTTGCAGCATCTATCTATTCCATTCCAGCAATRTTATTGCTAAATAGCATTCCATTGTGTAACTATATCACATCTTCCTTATTCACTCATCAATTGATGGACATTTGGGTTGTTTTTGCCTTTTGGCTATTATGAATAATGCTGCTGTGAACATTTGTGTGCAAGTTTTGTGTGGACATAAGTCTTCATTTCTTCTGGATTTATACCTAGAAGAGAATTTCTGGGTCATATGATAATCTTATGTTTAATAGTTTGAGAAACTGCCAAATTAATTTCCAAAATAAATGAACTATATTACACTCACAACTAGAAATGTGCAAGGGATCCAATTTCTCCACATTCTTGCCAACTTGTTATTATCTGTCATTTTGATTAYAGTTATTCTAGTAGTTGTGAATTAATATTCCATTTTTTAAATTCCCCTAGTTACTATTGATATTGACCATTTCATGTGCTTTTTTTGATATTTATTTTATTTGAGAAAAATCTCTATTTAAATATATTGCTCATTCTAAAATTGGATTACTTTTTATTATTGAATTGTAAGGARTTCTTTATATATCTTGTTTCAAATTACTTATCAGATATATGATGGGCAAATATTTTCTCCCAGTCAATGGGCTATATCCCTAGCAATACTTTGTGGAAGAAAAGCTCTGCCTCAAAGAGAGCTCCTGAAAGCTCATCYATTTCTCCACCTCCCACAAAGTCAYTGTGAAAATTAAATATACCAACATGTCATTACCAGCTGAGTTTCATTTTTAAGCTCTTCCCTTCTGAGTTGCCAACAGCTGCCTGAATCAATTACCTTTTCTTGTCTTAATTCTCCTTGACCTCTCTGCAGCTTTTGATGTCAAAGATAATTATACATTCTTTTTATCTCTGTCCTTCCTTCTCCCTACCTCCTGCCTTTCCTTCCTTCCTTTCCTKTATAAATAGCTGTTTGTATTAGACACTTAAATTTTAGCACCTCTGCTAGGGACTGGGGATAAAATAAAAAAAAATCTATGATTTCTATTCCCAAGAGATTTGTGCTGTATTAAGGAAGGAAAACATTTATAATATACTAATGACAGTGATCCATGTAGAATCATAATTGTGATTAGCCCTATGAAGGAGAAATGCTGGGTATGATGTAAAAATGTTACAGGGAAAGTGGCTTCAGTCCAGGAAATCCAGCCTTCTTTCTCTGATGARGTGACGACTTGGTTGGGATCTCAAGGATTAGCCCATGCTATTTAGGTTGAAAGGAGAAGATCACAGGGAGAAGCCTGTGATGAGGAGGAACAAGGACCTTCTGAAGGAGACAAAGCCAGTGTGGTTGGGAAAAGAACAGGCAAATATATCAGAATACACTCTACTGTTATGTATATCTAAAAACATCAAGTAAAAAAATTTTTTTAAACAGAGTGGGAATGAAACAAAATTCTGCTGGGTGTGAGGTGGGAGCAAGACCCTGTTGGTCCTTGAAGGTTTCATTAAACACATTTGTATTCATCTTAAGAACATTGAAGAGTTTTTAACAGGAGTGGGGAGATAATCAGGGTTGAATTTCTAAGAGGCTGATTAAGTGCAGTTTGAAGGATATATTGAAGGTGGGCCATAGTRGATGGGAGCAGAGACATTGGGGAGGGATAGCCATGGCTCAAATGAGAGATGGTGGTGGGTGGGAGAGTGATGGCAGTGGAGAAGGARCTGTGGGGATGAAGTGGAGAGATAATTAGAAAGAAAGTTCTACAAGGCTTGGTGATAGGGTCACCAAGTACAAAGGGTCAAGAGAAAAGGGGGTTTCAAGAGTGAGAAACATCTGTATGGCTATGTTTCTTCTGCCATGGTTTTGTGGTGACTAGCTTGATTTAAACCTCCCATCCTATAAACTTAGACTACTTACAACCTTTCTGTACCTGTTTCCTCATTTAGAAAATAGGGATAATAATAATGCTTAACTGATGTGGATGATATGATACTCTCCAGCAGTACCTAGTTCCTACAGTATATGCTTCATAAAGATTATTTTTGAAAAATCCCAATTATTAGTGCTATTGAGAAAAGGAAAGGAGGAGGAGGAGGAGGAGGAAGAAAGTAGTTTCTTTTAAAATTTAATAGAGACTTTTGGTTAAAGTTGAGATGGAATAGTTCCATTGTTCCTCCTAGGTCTACCCTCTAAAAATACCCTGGACGTAGCTCAGGAAGACTCTTAAAGGTAAAAAGAAGATGGACTATATAGGGAACTTGGGTCTTGAGCAACAACAAGCTGTGAGTTCTCTGAGATTTTTTTTTTTTTTTTGCCTCTGAAATGCCCTGGGTGGGACACTGAAGAAGCTTGCAACCTGAAAATGCCAGAAGGCACAGGCAACAGAAGCCTGTGAAGGAGGGAATCCAATTCCCTCTGTCAGATCTCTGCTTTCTCTACTGGAGCAATGGCCCTAGTGTTCAGCAGGGCTCTGAGCAACTTCTCCTACTCAATAGCATGGAAACTCAGGAAGGCAGTGCAAGGCGAGGCTCCTTGACTTCTGCTTTCTTCCAACTCCACTGTCCATGTGGCCCAGCAGGAGCTGAACTTCCACCTCCATCCAACACGGGTAAAAAGACTGAGTGCTGTTGCCCTATGATTGGCAATAAGGCCATGACATTCGCTTTCACCACTCTTGTGCAATGTAGCCCTGGAAATCTTAAAATGCATGCAGATTGGAAAGGAAGAAATAAGGCAATTTTATTTATAGATGACAAAACTATGTATGTAGAGAATCCTAAGGAATTCACAAAAATATTATAAAAATAATAAACAAATTCAGCAAGATCACAAGCTATAAGATCAATGCACAAAAATTATATTTCTCTATATAAGCAACAAATAAATAGAAACCAAAAATAAATGCATTATATCACATACAGGTTCCAAAATAAAATGATATACCTAGCTATTGGCCTAGCAAACATAAACAGGATCTATATGCTGAAAGTTGCAAAGCACTAATGAAGGAGACCAAGGAATATCCAAGTAAATAGGAAGACATACTAGGTTCATGGATTGGAAGATACAGTAAAGAAAAGATGTCAGTTCTTCCCAAATAGATCTGTAAGTTTCACACAATTCTCTATCAAAATCCCAACAAACTTAATCTAAACTTTATGTAGTAAGTCTTAGGAACTAGAATGACTAAAACAGTTTTGAAGAAAAGAAATAAAGTGGGAAAATCACTCTACCAGATATTTAGACTTTCTAAATAGATAAAGTAATCAAGGCAGTGTGGTATGGGCAGAGGAATAAACACATAGATTAATGGAACAGAATAGAGGAGCTYGAAACAGACCAATACAAACATAACTAATTTGTTTGGACAGAGGTATAAAGGCAATTCAAATGAGAAAAATAGACTTTTCAACAAATAGGACTGGTGAATGTGGACATGCATATCACCCCCATGGAAAACAAATTTCAACCTAAGCCTTACACCTTACACAAAAATTAAATATAAAARAACCATCAGCTTAAATACAATATGCAAAACTCTAAAACTGTTAAAAAATAGGAGAAATTTTTGGAACCTAGGGGATAGACMAAGGGTTCTTACATATCACACTAAAAGTACTTAACATTAAAGGAAAAAAATTTATTAAAACCTTTTACATTGTGAAAAGATTATGCTAAGAGGATAAAAATACAAGCTAGAGACATGAGAAAATATTGGCAAACCACGTATCTATAAAAGATATATCTAGAAAATATTAAAATTTCTCAAACTCAACAATATAAAACAGTCAAGTTTATCAATAAGCAAAAGGAGAATACATATGTACCAATGAGTATATGCAGATGGCAAATGAACATGTGGAAARAAGTTCAAGATCATTAGAAGCTAGCAAAATGCAAAGTAAAATCATGATGTAGTATTACTAAATATCTATCAAAATAGCTAAAATAAAAACTAGTGACAACATGAAATTCTGGCAAGGATGTGGAAAAAACAGACCACTTGTACATTGTTGATGGCAATGTAAAGTAGTACAGCCACTTTGGAAATTTGTTTGGCACTTTCTTACAAAACTAAACATGTGCTTAGCAGATGATCCTGCAAGTACACTCTTGGGCATTTATCCCAGAACACTAAAAACATATGTTCACACTGAAACCTGTGCACAGATGTTCACAGCAACTGTATTCATAATAGCAAAATACAGGAAGCAATTCAAATGTCCTTCATTGTGTGAGTGGTTGAATAAATTTTAGTACCTTGAACAATGGAATAAGAAGGAATGGACTATTAACATATAGAACAATTTGTATTGAACTCAAAGACATTATGCTTAGTGAAAAGAGTCAAAAATCTCAAAATTGACTTCCTGTATAATTCCATTTATATAACATTCTCTAAATGATAAACTGTAGGGGTGGAGAACAGATTAGTGCTTGACAGGAGATGATTGCTGAGGGTGAACAGGTATAGAAGAATGTTAACTGGATGCAAATACAAGGAGAGTGTGACGTGGGGGTAGTTGCAACAATTTTGTAAGGTATGCATACATGAGGGATTATCTAAACCTCACACGTGGGACATTTGGAGCCACACTTGCAGCACCTGTTTGGTGGGGGTCAGGTGGTCCTAACTAGTTCACTAAGGAAAACAACCTTTTGGTTGGCAATGGACRTTGATGCTGGTGTCACGGTGACAGATGTGGAGAAGTTAGAGTCCTTCCGACATGTACCGTGGAATAGAAAGGAGAAGGCAAGAGRAAGGAAGTATGTGATAATGCCAGTGCTTGATGAGTGCTCAAATGTTAGCAGGGGCAAGGATACGTATTGGAGAGACAGCTTGCTGCCACAGTCGTTATCCACRTGAGAGTTTGGATCTTCCAGGTATACTAAAACCAGACTCAGGCTGTACAGTCCTAAATTCACATTCTTCACATTCCCAATCTATAGTCTTGTTTCCTAGGGACTATAATTGACCCTAATATTTCTTTGGACTTTCAAAAAGATTCTAATTTAATTTTCTTTTTTTAAACTTTATTTTATTTATTTATTTTTATGTGGTACTGAGGATCGAACTCAGGGCCTCACAWGTGCTAGGCAAGCACTCTACTACTGAGCCACAGCCTAGCCCCTAATTTAATTTTCTTCAACTGCCTATGTGTTCAGTCTTTCTGCAGGAACGACCATCCTGTTAAGGAAAGACAAAGTTTTCTCAACCAATTTTTGCTATCATGTGACAATTAAGTCTTTCCTGAAGTAATTGTGTAGTAATAGGTAGTAGTAGTAGGAGGAGGAGGAGGAGGAGGAGGAGGAGGAGGAGGAGGAGGAGGAGGAGRAGGAGTAATTTAGTGGAGGAGGCTGTGGTGATGGTAGTGGTGGTAATAATAATAATACARTGGTGATAATAAAATAGCTTACCTTTATGGAGCACTTACTAGTAGCAATGTACTATGAGTGTTTTCCGTATGTTAGCTAATTTAATCCTCATAACAATATCAGGAAACAGGTTTATTTATATTTTGCAATGAAGAAATTAAGACACAAAGAGACTAAATAACTTACTGTAGTGCACATAGCTAGTAATTGTCAAATGCACCATCTAACCAAGGCTGGTGGTTCCAGAGTCTGTGCTTTTAACCTCTGTGCCAGGATAACTCTCATGAGAACCTGTCTTATACCTTCTGCAGCATTTCCAACAGCTGGAAAGGAATTTGATATATTTGGAAGGCGATCATGTCTTCTTTGTCCATCTCCATCAAACAGTTTTTGAAGGTGCTAGTCATTTTGCAAATTTGGGTGAGATGAAAGATACTGAGATATGGAAGTTTTGTAGTCTTTGTCATTCAGTATCAGGTTTTGTATTCTTGGGAAGACTGTAAGAGATTGCAGTGAGAATTTGGAACAAGCACAGAAGAGAGCCTCCATTTTTGACATGATGAATCATTTCCACATGTCCTGGTTTAGTTTCAGCCACATTCAAAYTACTTCCAACAACTGCTCAGCAAGGTGGTGATTCACCTGGTATGTAGATTCACAAATCTGAGCTCCCTTATCTACAAATTTTGTGATGTGAAAAGCTTGTTTACCATCCTTTTGTCTCAGTTTCTTCAATATATATATATATATATATATATATTTTCATTCCAGTGCTTGGAATTCTAGGTTCAATACCACTCATTATATAAAAAACTAATTGGTAAAATGAGGGCTTCAGAAACTATGTCACAATTTCTCTCTGCAAAGTTCATGAGTTCATTAAAACATTAATGTTAAAACTTGCAAATACTACAACATACTGTGATATGACTGCCTCCAACAAGGTAAAGATATTAAATTTTATAAATCTCCAAGATGGTTGAGGTTTTCCCGGTCTCAAGGTGTGGGTAGATGGCTCCTTGACAAGAGTGTGGGTTTGAAGTGGTGTCTGAAGCCAGGCATGGACACACATATTCCAGCTACCCTGGGGGAGAGTATTTCGGGTCAGGGAAGCAGCATGAAAAAGCTGGAGAGGTAGGCATGAAATCATTCTCAGGACAGTCGTGAGGTTGCCTCATCAAAAAGAGGACTAGGGGTCAAGGGAAGGTAGGCAAAGATGCACCAGGCTTTTGGATGTTACCTAAAACTGTGTCTTTCTCCACTCTGCTCTTCTGCCTTGTGTGCCCTTGAGCGACTCTGGCTGAGAAAATCATGACCATTCTTGAAAGACCAGTTGAAATACTAGCTTCTAATGACGAGAAGAGAAAAAATCTGTCAGGTAGTATTTCAACTGGTTTATCAAGATGAGGCAGCCTCAGATTATCTCTATTCTTCTTATCTAGCATGACCACACATGCTGGTTTGCCTAGGTTATTCTGAATTATGCCTATTATYCTAGCATCTTTATTAATAGAACACTCTTTCTCTTTAAAATACATCCTGTTTGTATGACAAAATATGAAGTCACCTCCTTAAAACTCATCACTTCTCTCTTGTGTTCCTATTTAGTTACATATTGGTGTGTGATGGCCCCTATTAACAAGTTCATATGATCAAAGATCCTATCTACTTTGTATTCTCAGTATAGACCCTAATAATTGTTTATGAAAAGAAATTTAAATAAGGAGACTGTAAACTTTGGATTCTAAGCCTAAGTCCCTACATTTTTTTTTTTTGTCCCTCAAAATTTCTGTTTTTTACCTGTACGAACTAGGTGCCCGATAGGTCGGTACATTGGATTTGACAWCTACAGGTTTATACTACTTCTGGGGCATGCTGGAGATGGCTTTAGACAGGCTGGAAGTGTGTCCTTATAAATCTTCCCTTCCCTTCTCACTGCTTTCTAACCTGTGCACATTTCTCAGTGACGGTTTGGGTTGGTCTTGAAGCCTAAAGGAAAAATATTTTTTGGAAAATCTTAGGTATCAACTCAAATCAGATGCAGGTGTGTGCTTTACCTCAATTGTGTATCAGTTACTAAAACAGCTCTATTTTGTGAGGTTTAATCTTTTTCATTATTAGATCCCATTAGGAAATTTAAAGTAAAAAATTAATGAAAATGGATATTTCAACTGATTACTATATTGATTTAACAGTTCACTTATCAAAACTATGCTCAATTTTAAGTTTTGTTTGATTAGTGGTATTTCTTTGATGTTTCTAGYTGAAATTTTTATTCCTGTTTTATAGCCTTTTATAAATTTGATGACTTTACCAGAGTTTTCTTCTTCATATTTCTAAAAAGTCACACTGATATATATTAAAGGGTGTTAACTTTCCCATGTTGTTTATTTATAAAGGTCAGTTGGATAACTCTATAAACTTTTTGGTTACGAGAGGAAAGGATAGTTAGCCATGATATCTTGGTCTGACTTGAACTGCTTTAGTCCATTTGTAGTGGGATTAATTTCCCTCCATTATGGATTAAGGATGCTGCAGCTATTTGACTCTATATAACAACATCACCACGTATCAGGAAACCACTCTGAGGTTAGATTATGCACCTTACGGAGAATTAGAATCGATGAGTCCTGAGAGTAAATCCCTTTCCTACTCAGCACCATTTGTGTTCACCAACATCCCCTGTGAGAAGAATTACTCCTTTTAAGAGACCTGTTGTAAATGTCCTTTGGTACATACAGTATATTGTCTGGGCCTTCTTCCTCTTCAGTTTGACCCCCTTTGTTCTGAAGAAGCCATGCAATTTATCATGGTAAATTGGAGGAAGATGTCCCAACGGTGGCACTGTTGATATTTGGACTAGTTACTTCTTTGTTGTGTGGGTTCTCCTGTTCTTCGTAAGATGCTCATCGGCATCTCCAGTCTCTAGCTACTAGATTCCAGTAGCACTTATCATCAACTGTTTCCAGAGGAGCTGTGCAAAATCACCACCTGCTGAGAACCCCTGCCTTGGAGCTTCGGTGGAAATCTTTGCAGAAGGTGAAGGAAGCTGTGGCCTTAGAGTACTGCTTCCCAATTGTGTGACTTTGTGTGACTGCTCTGACACTGTTTTTCTTTATCCTCAAATTGGGGATAATAGCATCCATCTTTCAGAGTCACTGAGACTTCAAACATAATCAGGTGTGGAAACTAACAGGTACGTACAATAGTAAGGTTCCCCACTCATGGGAGTCACTGTCATTCTTGCTGGTGAGTTCCAGCTAAATTCTGATACCAGTAATTCCAACCTAAGAAAAGGTGTCTCTCTCTCTTCTACCTACTGACAGAGCACGATGAATGTGGGAGCGGACAGCACAACTGTGACGGGAATGCCATCTGCACCAACACGGTCCARGGACACAGCTGCACCTGCAAACCAGGCTACGTGGGCAACGGGACCATCTGCAAAGGTAGGCTTTCCATCTGAAGGCGAGCCGTGTGCCTCCCTGCCTGATCTCGGTGTTCCTGCAGTGGATCTTCTTTTCCACTTYGGTGGCTGAACCCTGCCAGGGTTCCTGCTCCTGGTCCATCAGCTAGCAAAGGGCAGTGCAGGAAAGAACAAGGCTTGCTTTTGGGTGGTGGGTGTAGGTCAGGGACTCGATTCCACAACTTGACTCTGTTTAGCTTTGCTTTTTAGAATCTGTGCTTGTGAGAGAAACTCTGATGGCTGAATATGGGCTTTTCTTTGTTGTGAGCTGCTACGAGGACAAGTGGACGTTGTTCGGGAGGCATCGGCTGGAATAGGAAACTTAGCATTTAATTTTCTTTTTAACTTACAGTTTAGCAATTCAGAGGCCAGTGCTCTGGCTCTCCTCTGTATTTAAATAAAATTGAAATTCCTCCTCCTGTCTTATGAGGCACTCAGGATCTTGTCCCTGGCTCCTCTTAGCTACCATCTGTCTTTGTCCTCACCCTCATTCTCTCTGCATCAGCACATTAATTCTCCAATATTCTGTGAATATTGCTATCCCCTCTCAGCATTGAAGTTCACCTCCTTCATGTCTCTACCACATTTCCCCATCAAAGAAATATTTTTTGACTGCCATATCTACCATAGTATACTTAGTTTCTTAGCCCAAACCTTGCTTGATTTTTATTTTCATCATAAACAGCTGGAAACAATGTTATCCATTTGCATCTCTATATTATCTGCCACCCCACCAGGATGTATGTACATAAGCTCCATGAGAGTGACCACTTGATCTTGTTCCCCCACATCATCCCCACACCTAGAATGTGCCTGGGAACACTGTCAGTGCTCATTAAGTGTGTGTTAAGTGACCAAAACATCATTTGAAAAAGAAGAACACAAATAGAAAACCAGGAGATGCCATATGAAGTAGGCATTATTCCTTATCCTTATTTTAGAGGTAATAAAATTCAGACACCAAGAGGTTAAGTAACTATCTCAAAGACAAGGGCACATTATTAGTATTCCTCTGAAGAGATGTCATGTTGGTAATGCGAAGGAAATTCTTTACAATGACTAAATCATCCTATTCATGCATTGGATTGGAGGAGAATTTTAAAAGATTATAGTCTGTGTTGGTGACTGTGTGGTAAAAACAATAGCTTCATGCATGATTGAGAGAGTAATTGATGAAACTTTTTGGGCTACAGTTTGACAAAGTAGGCATTTTTTTTGATTCCGTCAACTTTACCTCTTGAATGTATTGTAGAAAAGTATAAACTCACAGGAGGAGGAAATTAACATACAGTGATGTTATTGCAGCATTATTTCATTCACTGAAAATCAGAAACAACCAGAATATCCATCATTAATGGAATGTTTGTATTTACTTTGGCATATTCACTAATGAAATAGGATTTGTGGTTTCAAACTCTAAGCACATGTATTAAGTACACACAGGTGTACACAGACACACACACACACACACATAGATAGCACACCCAAATACATATACATGCAGACCGAAAGATCCCCAAGATATATTTTTGAGAAAAAAGTAAGGGAAAATAAATAAAATAAAACAGTATAATACATTCAGTATCACTGCATATTTATAAGTATCTGTACACATATTTATATAAGTATGTAGACTAGAAACAGGCAAACTATTCACCTTATTACTAATAGGTATGTGAAAAAAAGAGCATTCACTTATTGTTATGAATTCTATATCATTTGCATATCTACCAATGGGAATTTATACATGAAATATTTGTGTGCTTTTTAAAAAGTTCCATGAGGCAAGTAAACAAGTGCTAAGTTTTTTTAGAAAGAATATTGAAGATATTTCTAAAGCAAAACTAAAGCACAAAAACATGAATACAGTCCCACAGATGAACAAATCCACTGCGAATACCTGAATACCAAAGATGTAAATCAAAGGAGCAACATGGGCATTTGATTTTAATGCTTTTTTCCCCCTCAKAATTATGTTACCTCATAAAATAATATTAATTGCCCTTGTTCAGTGGGTTTATTTTGCCATGTCCTCTCTTGCCATTGTGATAAGTGGTGGCTTCACCTTGTGGAATTTGAAAGTCCAGCTCTGTAAAATATGAGCTCAAATAATGTTCCTGGAGTCAACAGACTCTGAGAGGAAACATATTTTCCCTTGAAAGTTATGAATTAAGGACAATGATTTTCTTATAGCAATTCTCATGGCCAATTGTGCTGGCCTTGATAAGAGGGAGACTTCTGTTTTATAAATATTGCCTGGGGAAGCAGTGTGGTGGGGGTCAAAGGAATGGAGAAAGAGCTTGGAAATCTGGGGTTTAGATATGCTTTCATTACTGGTGAGTTGTGGCTTTCATGTTTTTACATATTAAAATTGGTTTAATATCACTTTGCATATCCAACAATGTTACTGCAAGAAATTACTGAGAGAATGTAAACTGATGTGTTTTAAATTATTGAAAGTTATACAAAGTAAAATTGATATTCACTTTGCCACCTACAGTATAACTGAAACATTTACAGTAGGTATTGGGCAAGGATAGCCTGATAGCTTGAACTAATTCTTTCTTTTAAGAGTTTTTTAAAAAAMTTCTTTATTATTTTAATTAGGTATATATGACAGCATAATGCATTATGATTCATTGTACATAATTGATTCTCTGGTTGTACATGATGTAGCGTCACACTATATGTGCAGTCATACATGTACCTAGGATAATGATATCCATCTCATTCTACCATCCTTCCTGTCCCCCTCCCCTCTTCCCACCTGTCCTTCCCCTTTGCCCAAAATTCCTCCATTTTTCCCATCCCCTTCCCACCCACCGCTTCCACTTATAAGAGAGAATAGCTCTTAGGTTTTTGGAATTGGCTTACTTTGCTTCACATGATATTCTCCAACTCCATCCATTTACCTGCAAATGCCATAATTTTATTCTCTTTTAATGCTGAGAAGTATTCCATGGTGTATATATACCACAGTTTTTTTTTATCCATTCATCTATTAAAGGGCATTTGGGTGCTTCCACAATTTAGCTATTGTGAATTGAGCTGCTATACCAGACCTTAAACTATACTACAAAGCTATAGTAACAAAACAGCATGGTGCTGGCACCAAAATTGACATGTAGACCATTGGTACAGAATAGAAGACAGAGACAAACCCACATAAATACAGTTAACTCATACTAGACAGAAGCGCCAAAACCATACATTGGAGAAAATATAGCCTCTTCAGCAAATAGTGCTAGAACAACTGGAAATCCATATGCAGCAAAATGAAAATAAACCCCTCTCTCTCGCCATGCACAAATCTCAACTCAAAGTGGATCTAGGACCTAGGAATTAGTCCATAGATGCTTTGCCTCATAGAGGAAAAAGTAGGCCCAAATCATTATCACGTCGGATTAGGCCCCAACTTCCTTAACAAGACTCCTAAAGCACAARAAATAAAATCAAGTATTAATAAATGAGATGAACTCAGACTAAAAAAGCTTTCTCTCAGCGAAAGAAAGAATCAATGAGGTGAAGAGAGAGCCTACGTTTTGGGAGCAAATTTTTACCACACACAGGTCAGATAGAGCACTAATCTCCAGGTTATATAAAGAACTCAAAACACTTAACACCAAAAAAACAAACAACCCAATCAATAAATAGGCTAAGAAGTTGAACAGACACTTCTCGGAAAATATACATTTGATCAACAAATATATGAAAAAAAAATGTTCAATGTCTCTCATAATTAGAGAAATGCAAATCAAAATTATTCTAAGATTTCATCTCACTCCAGTCAGAATGGCAGTTATCAAGAATATAGACAACAATCAATGTTGGTGAGGATGTGTGAGGGGAAAGCACACTCCTACATTGGTGCAGGGACTGAAATTGGTGCAACTACTCTGGAGAGCAGTATGGAGATTCCTTAAAAAAACTTGGAATGGAACCACCATTTGACCCAGCTACCCTSTCCTCAGTCTATACCCAAAGGATTTAAAGTCATCATACTATAGTAACGCAGCCACATCAATGTTTATAGCAGCTCAATTCACATGAGCTAATTCTCTTTTTAAAATGTTAAATGCACAAAAACCTTTTTAGACATGATACTCATAGACTTGAGTCAGTCTAGGTGGGAATGTGCACTGTGAACACCTATGTTAACAAGCATGACGCGTGGCAGCAGTTTCCCAAACAATACTAATTGGGGTGAGTGATCTCAGATTGTCTTTCCTGGTGGCTGATGCCCATATAAAGGAGTTTTCACTTTATAGGAATGGAAAGTACCATGATGCTTTAACTATTGCTACTAAGTACACGTAAGATACCTTGCTGGTTGCRTTCCATTTAGTTCCCACCATAACCCTGGGAGGGTGATAGCATTATCCTCTCTCAAAGGAAAATCTTGAAAAAGATGGACTGAACCCAGCAAGTAGGAATGATTTTAGCTTCTCTCATCTTTCCTTTCCTCCTCTTTTTCCTTCCCATCTCCTTTCCTTTTCTCTTCTTCCTCTTCTTCTCTGCTTGTTGCTCATTTCTCTCTTTCCCTCCCTCCCTGCCTCCCTCCCTGCCTACTTCCTAACTAGATAAGGAAAATTAAAAAAAAAAAACAGTGAAAAGAGGGTGCAATGATGTATTATTTTTCAAAATAATATTTTGCTCTCGTGTTTAACAGTTTAAAGTACTTCTGAAACCATGCAATATGTATTGCTAAATATTGTGGCATTTGGGGTGAAATAGACAAATTWCTTGCAAATGGTTTCAAATAAGATTAGCATAACCTGACTTGAGGGTTAAGGTTATCTCCTGAGTAGTGTTTATCTGCTTTCCCAGTCYTGCATTAATGCTGAAATGGAAATCAGGCTTTAAAGAGGCAGTTGTCAATACGTATCTGATAAACTAAGTCTTCTCTCTTATCTGTCATTAAGACTAGATAAGGCATGGTGATCCTTGGAAGCATTCTTGTCTTAATGACTGGTAATATTGACA